AATAAATAAGGACTTCAACTATTAGAAAAAAATTAATTTTAGTCATAATCTAATATTTTTTATTTAACATTGGTGGCGAAAGGACCTTCTTAATGGCATAAGAAAATAATTTGATAAGTGTTATCTTTCTTTTAGATTTCATCACATAAAAATATTGTATATTCCAAGGAAATAAACTAGAATTTAATCCTATATTGTTAATCTAATTTTTATTGTTATCGTATTATTGATTTTTTGTAGAAATTCCAGGATTACTGCAATAAATTTATTATAATATTATTTCCAAAAATAATAAAAAATATATACCCTTCCTAATAAAACTTTATGTTTTGATATATTCTGTTTTATTGAAAATATTCTCCCAACAATTCGAAGTCATTATCTCTTGTCTGTAACTTTAATTAATTTGGAATCCTGAATTAAACCAAAGTATTTATTAACTTGATTATTCGACTTTGCATATTTACGCATTCATTGGCGTCTCTAAAGTAGAGGTACTCTTCAATGCATGCAATATTATATTATTACATTATTACTGGGGGTTCAAATATCAATACTTACTGACATAAAAGGTGTTTAGGTTACAAAAATAATTAAGCAATGTTATATTTCAGTTATTTTTTTAAAAAATTAACATAAAAGTCGGTTCAATAAGGTTCTTTGACGTAAAAAATATAATCATTTTTGGTGTATCGCTTAAACGGTATCTGTATCTGTAACATGTGAAGGGTTGGTTAACCCACGCTTAGACCTCACTAGGCCCATTGTGCATTCTCCTAAGTAGATAGGCACCTGCTAGCCTACAGATTTAATGTAGTTGACAATGTCGCCAAGAGGTGCTTCTCTTATATCGGCCGTTGTTAGCCAATTCGTAATGAACACAAATCTTTTAATAATTGAGGGCGTCGGGCAATCGTAGAGGATATTCTCGGTGGTCTTATCTTCTTGTTCGTACCCCTTCCAGAGTCTGTATTCTGACAGCCCCATGATATGAAGATGCTTTCATACTAGGTAATGACTAGTCTGAATGCCTGTGATCAGTTGCAGATTCTGTCTAGTCATAGTCCAGTATTTATTTGCTATAGTGTTGTCAGGATAACTTAAAGGTTCCTGACGAGTCTGCAGCTTCTTATTTAATCCCTTTTTTCCTTAAATTTTACAAGGGAACGTTCATTAATTGTCAGTCCAATAGGGGTATGGGAATGAATTAAAAATTTAAATAAGAGCGGAAAAAGTCCGATTACTAATTAATTGGATTTTGACGAGTTCAAGGAAAAAGTAGAATTTAATTTAATATTTTTTTAAATTTTTGGGTTCCCGGAGTTTTTTAATAGGAATTTTTATATTTAAATCGAAGGCGTATCCAGTATCTAAAAGGTGCAAAACAAAGTAGGAAAAGCCTGTAGTGTTTGTGTTGAGGGAACGTGTATGTTCTTCTAGACGAACTTTGAAATTACGAAAAGTTCTACCGACATAGCGGCAATGACAAGTTGCACATGTTCACTTATATACTCGTATACCAGATTGATCCAGAATATCTATCTTATCTTATCCTTATTTTTAACCGATTGACACAGATCGATGGGTTTTCTCCAATTAACGTTAGCGTTAGGTTCCCTTGTATCAACCAAAGCGTGGACAGTAGATAACTTAAAAAAAAAAGTTGAATAATTTAAAAATTCGGAAACAAATCTCAAAAATTCCCTTAAGAATTATTAAGACCATCCCAGAACCTCAAAGGTAAAAACAAATACTAGGAGATTAAAAAAAAGTGTTGTGAATAATGTATAAATTAGAGTATATTGCTTTTACTATTAACATAATTTATTTTTCTTCTTATCCTTCAAACTCAATATAACAATTACATAACAAACAGTTAAATGTTGAACATATTTTACATAATCAACTGAACACAAATCATGCATTTGTGTTAATTTTAAATTGGCAACAGTTTAGCTTGGAAGGTGAAATTGTTCTAAGACTAAAAACTGTCTTTGTGTGTCGAGTCTAAAAAGCTTGTTCAGATTGGTAAAAGTAGGTAATATATTTACAAAATATAATTACGGTATAGGTATGCAAAAGCAGTGGTATATAAATGATGATGTAATATAATTATTTTATGACTATTATGAAAGACTTTAATACAAACCTGTTAAGAGCTATTTGCGGAAAAGAGATGGTTGTAAGATAATAGTTGGCACACTTATGTAACAGATCTACAGAAACTGCCCTAGTACAGTTGACTGACGTAATCCAGGATGCACTGACAAACAAAGAAATGGTCGTGTGTGCCTTCTTAGACATAGAAGAAGCTTTTGACAACACGCCACACGAATCTGTCAAAAGAGCACTTGCATACAGAGGACTAGATAGCACCACATTCAGATGGATGGCTCAGCTGTTATCTACGAGAACTGTAGAAAGGGCAGAACACCATCTCCATCTGCACAACTAGAGGATGTCCACTAGGAGGAGTTCTATGCCCACCAATGTGAAGCCTAACCGTAAACGAACTTCTATGCAGATTGACTGACCTCGGCATAACCTGTCAAGGTTATGCCGACGACACAGTCATATTTGCTAGAGGCAAGTTTAGAAATATCCTGTGTGATATAGTCCAACGAGGACTAGAATATATCAAAAGATAATGCTGTGAAGTGGGACTTAGTATAAACCCTACAGAAACAACACTAGTAGCCTTTTCAAGGAAAAGAAATCTTAATCTCAAAACCGTTAAATTAGACGGAATAGATATAGAATGGAAAAATGAAGTCAAATATCCCGGCCTACCCCTGGACAACAAATTTCTCTGGAACACACATGAGAAGAAAGTGGTAACTAAGGCCACAAAAGCCCTAGTGGTATGCAGAAACGATGGGGATATAACCCAAACATACCACGATGGATGTATACTGCAATAGTGAGACCAATCATCACTTACGGGGCTAAAGCCTGGAGTAACAGAACTAGTTTAGCTACTACAAGAGCTAATATTGCAAAAGTACAAAGACCAGCCTGTGTTTGCATCGCCGGTGCAATGAGAACCTGCCTTACGGCCGCAACTGAGGCGATCTTAAACCTCTCTCCTCTACATTTGATGATAAAGAATATAGCAAAAAGGACACGATATAGAATGATCGGTAACGGAGTAATCAGACGAAAGTCTACTTGCTTCAGGACTAAAGATACCTGGAACATGCCCCAGTAAAAAATGCTAAAGAAATATAGTTTTGTGAAAAACTTTAAAACCACAGAACTGGGCTGCAAAAAAGAATGGAGCCAAGAATACATTGCGCTTGCAACCAAAAAACATGCTATTTAGTGGTATACGGAAGGTTCCAAAATCATAGAAGGAACTGGAATAGGAGTGTATGGGCCGAGAACCAAGCACTCCAAAAGCTTGGGAAAATACCCAAGCATCTTCCAGGCGGAAATTCACGCCATCGAGAAGTGTCAGTTTGACATCGAGAGAAACGATCATAGACAAGAGGTTATCATCATGTCCGATAGCCAAGCAACCATCAAAGTGCTGAGCTTTTAGGTAATCAGCTCAAAAATGGTCTGGAGATGCCTAGAACAATTGAATGAGCTGGGCGAGAAAAATAGAGTTACTCTCATTTGGGTCCCGGAACATAAAGGGGTACAGGGTAACAAGATTGCAGATAGTCTCGCAAGGAAAAGGGCCCAAACACCTTTTGTAGGACCTTAGCCGTTCTGTGGTATCAGCAGTAACATAATATTAGGAGAGATTAAAAAAGAATTGGGCAGTAGAAGAACCGATAATTGGAACAATCTGTTGGGGCTAAGACAGGCTAAGATACTTTTGTGTGAATATAACCAGAAAAGAACGGAAGCCTGCATCTGCCTGAGCAAGAACAGGCTACGTATTTTAACAGGGATCCTTACTGGGCATTGCCGACTAAAAGGATATTTTAGTAAACTGAGAGTAGTAGAGGATACTAAGTTCAGATTTTGTGAGGAGGAGGACAAAACCTCCATTCACATTCCAACTGAATGTGTAGCACTCCAGAATCCAAGGGCACTATACCTAGGAGGATATCAAATAAAAGAGGGAGATTTACCTAACTTAAAGCCACTCCAAATCCTACACTTCCTTGAGAAGATAGGATTGCAAGAGTCGTTATAGGCATTAGCGACAGAAGGGGATCTCAATAGATCTTTAAGGTCGCAGTGTATTAACACTCCATTCCTAACATAACACTATGTAACAGTTTATAACATTGTTGCTTCATAAAATTAGTCTTAAAAATGTGTTTAAAACAAAATAATAAGACACTTTTGCACTTATTATAATTATATCTTATCTATGACTGCATTAAAATAAAACGTTTATTTATGAACTTTTATAAGTAACTGATATAACATTTTTATCTTATCAATCACTAAATATGTTAGTTTGATGCTTCACATTTACTAAACCATTAATTTAATTATGGCAAATCGGAAGTGCGGTAACAACAAAAAAAGTCGGATTAGATAATTTAGCACTGATCTGTAATTTTCACTGCATAGGATGTAGGCTATATTTGACATCGTGGATGAATACCGAAAGATCCATGAATTGATGGATTTGGGCAAATTAGAGGGAACATTTAAAACTCTATAAAGAGTTAAAATTAATTTTTAATTTGTAAAAACTTAAAATTAATAAATGCTTTCTATAGACTATAAAATGTTCAATTTTACTTGTAATAATAAATTTCTAATATCATTCTAACAATTCTAAAGAATAGTGGAAAGAAGGATTATGAACACTATACTATACAACAGAAACGAAAGGACAGATTAGTAATAAAAATAAAACAGATTACATGATTGGATCACTTTAGGCCATAGATATGAAACGATAAATAATAATTTAGTCATTTTTACAAAAAGGCACTGGAAGAAGACTAGTAGACATAAAAATGGTTAGAATAGAAAACGTGCAAGAAGTTATAAACATTCTAAACATTCTAGACATTTTAAACAGTCTAAACATTCTAAACATTCTAAACATTCTAAACATTCTAAACATTCTAAACATTCTAAACATTCTAAACATTCTAAACATTCTAAACATTCTAAACATTCTAAACATTCTAAACATTCTAAACATTCTAAACATTCTAAACATTCTAAACATTCTAAACATTCTAAACATTCTAAACATTCTAAACATTCTAAACATTCTAAACATTTTAAACATTCTAAACATTCTAAACATTCTAAACATTCTAAACATTCTAAACATTCTAAACATTCTAAACATTCTAAACATTCTAAACATTCTAAACATTCTAAACATTCTAAACATTCTAAACATTCTAAACATTCTAAACATTCTAAACATTCTAAACATTCTAAACATTCTAAACATTCTAAACATTCTAAACATTCTAAACATTCTAAACAAACATTCTAAACATTCTAAACAATTCTAAACATTCTAAACATTCTAAACATTCTAAACAATTTAAACATTCTAAACATCATAAACATTCTAAACATTCTAAACATACTAAACATTCTAAACATTCTAAACATTCTAAACATTCTAAATATTCTAAATATTCTAAACATTCTAAACATTCTAAACATTCTAAACATTCTAAACATTCTAAACATTTTAAACATTCTAAACATTCTAAACATTCTAAACATTCTAAACATTCTAAACAATTTAAACATTCTAAACATTCTAAATATTCTAAACATTCTAAACATTCTAAACATTCTAAACATTCTAAACATTCTAAACATTCTAAACATTCTAAACATTCTAAACATTCTAAACATACTAAACATTCTAAACATTCTAAACATTCTAAATATTCTAAATATTCTAAACATTCTAAACATTCTAAACATTCTAAACATTCTAAACATTCTAAACATTCTAAACATTCTAAACATTCTAAACTTTCTAAACATTCTAAACATTCTAAACATTCTAAACTTTCTAAACATTCTAAACATTCTAAACATTCTAAACATTCTTAACATTCTAAACATTCTAAACATTCTAAACATTCTAAACATTCTAAACATTCTAAACATTCTAAACATTCTAAACATTCTAAACATTCTAAACATTCTAAACATTCTAAACATTCTAAACATTCTAAACATTCTAAACATTCTAAACATTCTAAACATTCTAAACATTCTAAACATTCTAAACATTTTAAACGTTCTAAACATTCTAAACATTATAAACATTTTAAACATTCTGAACATTCTAAATATTCTAAACATTCTAAACTTTCTAAACATTCTAAACCTTCTAAACAAACATTCTAAACAAACATTCTAAACAAACATTCTAAACATTCTAAACAATCTAAATATTCTAAACATTCTAAACAAACATTCTAAACAAACATTCTAAACATTCTAAACATTCTAAACATTCTAAACATTCTAAACATTCTAAACATTCTAAACATTCTAAACATTCTAAACATTCTAAACATTCTAAACATTCTAAACATTCTAAACATTCTAAACATTCTAAACATTCTAAACATTCTAAACATTCTAAACATTCTAAACATTCTAAACATTCTAAACATTCTAAACATTTTAAACATTCTAAACATTCTAAACATTCTAAACATTCTAAACATTCTAAACATTCTAAACATTATAAACATTCTAAACATTCTAAACATTCTAAATATTCTAAACATTCTAAACATTCTAAACATTCTAAACATTCTAAACATTCTAAACCTTCTAAACAAACATTCTAAACAAACATTCTAAACAAACATTCTAAACATTCTAAACAATCTAAATATTCTAAACATTCTAAACAAACATTCTAAACAAACATTCTAAACATTCTAGACATTCTAAACATTCTAAACATTCTAAACATTCTAAACATTCTAAACATTCTAAACATTCTAAACATTCTAAACATTCTAAACATTCTAAACATTCTAAACATTCTAAACATTCTAAACATTCTAAACATTCTAAACATTCTAAACATTCTAAACATTCTAAACATTCTAAACATTCTAAACATTCTAAACATTCTAAACATTCTAAACATTCTAAACATTCTAAACATTCTAAACATTCTAAACATTCTAAACATTCTAAACATTCTAAACATTCTAAACATTCTAAACATTCTAAACATTCTAAACATTTTAAACATTCTAAACATTCTAAACATTCTAAACATTCTAAACATTCTAAACATTCTAAACATTCTAAACATTCTAAACATTCTAAACATTCTAAACATTCTAAACATTCTAAACATTCTAAACATTCTAAACATTCTAAACATTCTACACATTCTAAACATTCTAAACATTCTAAACATTCTAAACATTCTAAACATTCTAAACAGTCTAAACATTCTAAATATTCTAAACATTCTAAACATTCTAAACATTCTAAACATTCTAAACGTTCTAAACGTTCTAAACGTTCTAAACGTTCTAAACGTTCTAAACCTTCTAAACATTCTAAACATTCTAAACATTCTAAACATTCTAAACATTCTAAACATTCTAAACATTCTAAACATTCTAAACATTCTAAACATTCTAAACATTCTAAACATTCTAAACATTCTAAACATTCTAAACATTCTAAACATTCTAAACATTCTAAACATTCTAAACATTCTAAACATTATAAACATTCTAAACATTCTAAACATTCTAAACATTCTAAACATTTTAAACATTCTAAACATTCTAAACATTCTAAACATTCTAAACATTCTAAACATTCTAAACATTCTAAACATTCTAAACATTCTAAACATTCTAAACATTCTAAACATTCTAAACATTCTAAACATTCTAAACATTCTAAACATTCCAAACATTCTAAACATTCTAAACATTCTAAACGTTCTAAACATTCTAAACGTTCTAAACATTCTAAACATTCTAAACATTCTAAACATTCTAAACATTCTAAACATTCTAAACATTCTAAACATTCTAAACATTCTAAACATTCTAAACATTCTAAACATTCTAAACATTCTAAACATTCTAAACATTCTAAACATTCTAAACATTCTAAACATTCTAAACATTCTAAACATTCTAAACATTCTAAACATTCTAAACATTCTAAACATTCTAAACATTCTAAACATTCTAAACATTCTAAACATTCTAAACATTCTAAACATTCTAAACATTCTAAACATTCTAAACATTCTAAACATTCTAAACATTCTAAACATTTTAAACATTCTAAACATTCTAAACATTTTAAACATTCTAAACATTCTAAACATTCTAAACATTCTAAACATTCCAAACATTCTAAACATTCTAAACCTTCTAAACAAATATTCTAAACAAACATTCTAAACCAACATTCTAAACATTCTAAACAAACATTCTAAACATTCTAAACAAACATTCTAAACAAACATTCTGAACAAACATTCTAAACATTCTAAACAAACATTCTAAACAAACATTCTAAACAAACATTCTAAACAAACATTCTAAACAATCTAAACAGTCTAAACAATTAAGTGTAAGGGGTTAAAGAAAAGGTCCTTTATTTCTCACAAGTCAGCTTCGAAACCGGTCGCCAATTAAATTGACTTGTGAGAAATAAAGGACCTTTTCTTTAACCCCTTACACTTAATCCCTACTACTCACATATGGCTACCCTCACTAGTCTAAACAATACATGTGAAATATTTAAATGATATGAAAGAAGAATATCTGATGCAGTGTTTCTCAAAGTGTGGTCCGCAAAGCCCTGGGGCTCCGTAAAGCTTCTACAGGGTCTCCGTGAAAATAATAGTGAGGTCCAGCAGCTCTAGCTGAGGATAGTTTATGTTGTAGATATCACTACAAAATTTTGTCTTGAGGACCTTTTTTTTGTTTTAGAAATGCTTTGAAACCATTAGAATTTTTTTTATAAATCTTTACTATTTTAGGGCTCCGAAAAATATTTCGCTTTTCAAAAGGGTTCCGTTGCCAAAAAAGTTAGAGAAACACCGATCTTTCAGTTACATATTATTTAAAATAAGAGTTGAAAGATATTACAGGTAGGTAGTTCAAAATTAGAAATTTAAATGTTGTTTCAACAATATAAATGAAATATATTTTAAATTAGATTTGTCTATGGGAAAGCTAAGAATTTTCCTGTTTTATTATTATACAGGGTGTCCCATTAGTGCATAATTGTTTAATATTTCAATTTGTGTTGCAAATTTCAAACAAAAGTTTTACGGATTTAAAAAACACATATTTTAAAGGTATTTTTAGAAACACAATATGTTGCATTTTTGCCTGGTAAATAGAAATTAATATTTTTTAAATTTAACAAACACTCTGCGTCTTAATTCAGTTTTAGAATGGTTTGGTAATACTGTATTCAATCCTGAAATTTTTTAAAAAGTTTTCCAAGCAATTAATTATTTTTTTATGAAATTAAAGAATGATGATAAATTAAATTATCATATTGTAGGTAGATTTACAATGATTTTAAAAATTGTTTAAAATACAGACTTATAAAATAATGAAATATTTTATACAGGGTGTTTTTATAAATGTCTTAAATATGGCTAATTTTAAATTAATTTTTTTTCAAATGCTTTATCCTATATATTATTTTAGCATATAATTCCTTATAAATTTACCTATCCAACAATATCAACATGTTGGCCAATAACAGATATACAGGGTGTCAGTACTTAATTGATCGATAGCAGTTTTATTATTAGAAATATGAAACAAAAAATTAATATGAAAATTGTATGACCGTATTTAATCAATATTCTTAAATATAAAGGATGGTCCATAAACGAGGGGCTGACCAAACCCTATACATTTTTAAAGCAAAACACCCTGCAAGTAGTTATACATATTTGAATATTTTCACATCGTCAAAGAATTTTAATAGACTTCATTCAATTGCTATGTTGTATATAGAATGCCTGAAAACTTGAGTTTATGGTTTTATTAATTTTTAAATAGAATACCCTGTATGTTATACCACCAATTAATTAATACCGGCAATTCTATTTAGAAAATCGTAACCTTGCGTTTTGACACACCCTATATACAACATAGCAAATGAATGAAGTCAATTAAAATTGTTTCACGATGTGAAAACAAAATCAAATATATATAACCACCTGCAGGGTGTTCTGCTTTAAAAAAGTATAGGTTTGGTTACCTTTTTGTTTATGGACCACCCTGTTTATTCAAGAATAATTATTAGATATGGTCATACAACTTTTATATTAAAAATTTCTTCGTATTTCCAATAATAAAACACTGATGTGGTATTGGTTAACATGTTGGTATCGTTAGATAGGAAAGTGTATAAGAAATTTTATTGTAAAATAATATACAGGGTGTTACATTTGAAAAAAAATGAGTAAATTGAACTTAAAGTTAAGACATGCTTCAAAACACTCTTTATAAATAAACCAGTTCTATCACCACTATGCGTTAGCTTAGTATCTTAGTCCGTATATTAAACAATTTTGATATTAATGTAAACCTATCTAAATAATGATAATTTAATTTGAGGTTTGCATCTTCTCTAATTTCATAAAAAAATAATTGCTTGGCAACCCTGTAATATTTATTAAAAACGTTCTAGGATTTAATACACTATTACCAATTCATTTTAAAAAAATATTCATTTTTATTTTCCAGTCTAAAACGTCTAAAACATTATGTATATCCAAAAATATTATTAAAATATGTATTTTTCAAAACCATATAATTTTTTATTCGAAAATTGTGTGTCTATAACAAAAATTGAAATATTGTACAATTTTGCACTAATACATATATGTATGATTAATGATGATCCATAAAAAAAATACAAATTTTTTTTCTTGTGACAGAAGTCGAATAATGCGACTCAATAAATCCAAAACATTGTATACTTTAACTTTCCAAAAATAAATTTTAACCAAATCATGCACATCACTAATAGATAATTTTGTTTTTCTTTGAAATTTTTTTTCCAGGAAATCAAACATCAGAACAGTTTTGACATATATGCCTATCTATTATTATCAAGATCATTTATAAATTTTGTTCGAGTATATGCATTTCTATTATTATCAAGATCATTTATAATTTTTTGTTCAAATAACATTAGTTGTAAGTATAAGTAGAAAAAAAAACAAAGAGAGTATTTAGCGTTAACAGACAATCGTAAACAAATGGTAAAATCAATGGGAACAATATATTTATACAGAATGTTCAAAAATTGTTGGGAATAAGCTACCACGTATTGTAGAGGTCAAAATAAGTTGATTGGACCCAATTTATATATACACACACACATACTAAATATTCCTGCATTCGTTTTGATTTAAAGCTAGACATACATAATTGCGCAGTGATTTTTGAGCTATAGGTTAGTCTCGTTCGATGATAATAAATCCTTTTTAAAGTGTAAAAAGATTAATTTATTAAAAGATAAATATGTTCCTTAAATTTGCGTTCAATATGAACATAAACATCTAAGTTTTTTTACAGCAGATAATATTCGATTGGATATTATTTATATTTAGGTAAATATCATTATTGAATCTTTCACGAATCATATCGACTCCTATACATGGCCTTGTGGAAGAATGCTGTTGTGCAATTATGTTGATGCTTATGAACACATTCTTGTATCTAAAGCGTTAAAACGCGACTTATATAACGATTTAGCTTTAAATATCTTTTTAACTGGTTTAAAGGAACCTTTAGGTACAACAAATAGATGTATGAAACCTACTTCATTAAGCGTAGCTTTGCAATATGTTCTAAAAGAAGACAATGTTCATTATTATCCAAATTTTGGCAAAAAAAAAACAATTTTAATAACGTAAGAATTCAACAAAATAGACCTTCTGTTTCAACACCAATTCAAAGACAAAATGTTAACCCTAATTTATCATATTTTAATGCAAACCCCAAATAACTTTTTCAATAGACAAAAAACTTTTCCGTCGCAACCTGTTCCAATTCAATCTCAACAACCAAGACAACCGCAAAGATTTTTTATTAACGCGCAAGTTTTTGGAAAACCTCAGCAAAATCAAAATGTTTTTAAATCTAATCGAAATGTAAATTTACTAAACCCAACGCCCATGAGTGTTTCTACTAGAATTACAACCAATGAAATCACACCTATGAGTATCACAACGCGTAATTTCGCACCAGGGACCAGGGTCATCCAGAAACTATTTTCAAAATAATTCGTATTCTCAAAATTAGTTCACTTCAGAAGGATTGTTCAATGCTAAACTTGAACAAAATAATTAACTTTTTAACGAAAACCAGTTTTCCGAAAACGGCTGTTCGCAATTTGATTTTTCTGAAAATAATATCAATGGTGAATCAGTTGATACTAATGAAGTAAATTTTCAGCTACAACCAGAACTTATATCATTAAATTTAAATAAATCAAGTTAATTATGTTATGTAGAATTTCCTGATATAAGCTAAAATTCATAATTGATTCGGGCTCTAGTAAATCTTCTATAGATCCTGAAATTGCTCATGAATATTTTTTAAAAACAAATGATCCATTTGTTGTTAAATTAGTTTTCGAAGAATCGGCTCATAAATATAGTACTTTAATTCACACTTCAAATATTTTTAACTTATCAGAAGATTTAAATTTGAAATTTAATTTTGTTAAATGTCATAATATATTTAACGGTTTAATTGGTTTAGATTTAAAACTATTAGAAGCAACAGTAGATTTTGCTAATGGATATTTAGTTACACCTTACGCTAAAATAAATTTAAAATAAAAACAGACTTGGTGATTTAATAACAGTAGCACCTCGCTCTGAATAAGTAAAAAATATTCATTGAAAAAGAAAATACCGAAAAATTTAAATTTATCACTTTTTCTCCAATTTTTCCATTACGGTCCATTTTAGAAAAATCATGTAAAAACAAAAATTATAGAAATCGATATCGCAAACAACTTTTAGTTCGACAATTTTCTTAAAAAATTCGAAATTTACACACATTTTCTCAAATATCTCGAATACGGTCCATTTTAGAGAAATTATGTATGGAATAAAAATTATAGAAAATTATATTACAAACAACTTTTATTTAAACAATTTTTATAAAAAAATATTTTTTTTACATTTTGTCAAATTTCTCGAATACGGACCATTTAAGGAAAATTTTGTATGAAACAAAAATTATAGATAATAATATTAGAAGTAACTTTTATTTGAACAATTTTTTTCTCCAAACATAAATAACAGATATATTCCATAAAATATAAAAACGGCCCCCTATAAAGTACCCCCCCAGATGTTCCGACTTTGTCCAAAATCTAA